AAAACAGGGTGGCGGGATGGAGCTCTGGTAGAGCTGCCACCATCACACCTATGTGTGAATACACACAGACACACTCTGAGCAGCTTCAGTGTCTGGCCTATAACAGATTGCTGTCAGCTGGCCAGAATGAATTGGAATCTTGTATGATTGAGAGCAAAGCTTTTTCCCTAAAGTAAAAGGGTCAGGAAAGGAGTCTTTATTGTATTTGAAACAGCCTCATTATGTAGCTCTGGCTAGCCTGGAACTCAGTCTCTCCCCAGTGTTGGGGTTAAATGTGTGCACAACCATGCCTAGACTTCACTGAGGGTATCTTTGGATGCTAGTGCTACTTGTGACCACACACACACCCCACATTATTAGTCTTGTTTATAATACCTTACTCCTTATTCCAGGTGAAGGTGCTGAAGGAAAAGATAGAAGCTGAGAAGGGGAGAGATGCTTTTCCTGTGGCCGGACAGAAGCTCATCTATGCTGGCAAGATCTTGAGTGATGATGTCCCCATCAAGGAATACCATATAGATGAGAAGAACTTTGTGGTTGTCATGGTGACCAAGGTGGGTAGATTAGCTGGGATGCTGGCAAAGAGCTTGTGTGCCCAGGAGAGATTAGCCACAGGCAGGGTGGGGCTGTGATGGGGCAGGATGTTGGGGCTTGATAGGGATGCTGCTGCCTGATCCCTTTTTCTTGTTGTCACAGACCAAGACTGGCCAGGTTACTCCAGCACCCCCAGAGGTCTCACCTACTGCTGCCTCGGAATCCTCCACACCTTTCCCTCCGGCCCCAGCATCAGACATGTCCCATCCTCCACCTCCCAGCAGAGATGATAAGAGCCCATCAGAAGATTCAACCACCACAACATCTCCAGAATCCATTTCTGGGTAAGGAAGGGACAGTAGCCTTACCTGTGCCCTGTCTTTTGCACCTTCCAGTGTGGTCCCATGCACTTGCGGGGAGGGCAAGCCACCAGAAGCCAGGGTCCGATTTCTCTCTCTTGAATTTGCAGCTCTGTTCCCTCTTCAGGTAGCAGCGGGCGAGAGGAAGACGCAGCTTCCACATTAGGTGGGTGGGTGGTCCTCAGGGCAGAGGCGACTGGGAGCCCCAGCCATCAGCCTTTGACAGCCTTGTCTGGGTATGGGAGGGTCTGGGAGCTGCCCTTCTGTGCTCCTGGTGACCCTGGCCCTGCTGCTCCCTTCACAGTGACTGGCTCTGAGTATGAGACGATGCTGACCGAGATCATGTCCATGGGCTACGAGAGGGAACGGGTTGTGGCCGCGTTGAGGGCCAGCTACAACAACCCCCACAGAGCTGTGGAGTACTTGCTCACGGTGAGGGAGTCTCCAGGTCTCGGGACCTCAACAGGAATGGAAGTGGAACCTCCCCATAGGCTCTTGGGTGTTGTGTGTTACCACTGGAGGCTTCCCAAAGAGGCTGGACAGAGAGCATGGAGGGCGGGGATGAGGCCTTCCTGTTTCCTGTCAGGCTGATAATTTGGGAGGGGGAAGTGGCTCTGTTGGAGAGAACTAAAGAGCAGGATCCCTGACAGGGAATTCCCGGAAGCCCCGAGCCCGAACATGGTTCTGTCCAGGAGAGCCAGGTACCAGACCAGCCGGCCACAGAAACAGGTGAGCAGGATGCACAGTGTACATGTGGGCATCTGCAGTCTAGCTCAGGAGCCCTGCAGGGGTCTCATCACACCTCTTCCTGCCACTAGCAGTGGAGAACCCCCTGGAGTTCCTGCGGGACCAGCCCCAGTTCCAGAACATGCGGCAAGTGATTCAGCAGAACCCAGCGCTGCTCCCTGCGCTGCTCCAGCAGCTGGGCCAGGAGAACCCTCAGCTCTTGCAGGTGCGGTCCAGGGTGAGGGAACTGAGACAGATGCCTTTTCTAGTTCTTTATGGGAATACCCAGGGACATAGCTTTGCTCCGAGAAAGCAGAACTATAGCACAGGTCCAGTCCCTTGCTGTCTGATGGCCTCCAAGGTCATGTGTAATTGGACTTCAATGAGGTATGGATGCTGTTGACATCCCCCTGCAGAAGAGGTCAGGCCCAGAGCACCAAAGCAGGCTGCCTGCCGCCTGCCATATGTCTGGGTTCTAGACTCTGGCCACAGCATTCTTTTTTTTTTTTTTTGGTTTTTCAAGCAAGCTTTCTCTGTAGCTTTGGAGCCTGTCCTGAAACTTGCTCTGTAGACCAGGCTGCCTTCAAACTCACAGAGATACCTGCCTCTGCCTCCCCAGTGCTGGGCTTAAAGGTGTGTGCCACCACTGCCCGGCTCAGCATTCTTCTTGAGTTCTTGCTGTACTGTAGCTTCTCTTCCTGCTTCTCAGTCTTGGCTTTTTCCTGATCTGACCTGAACCTGTGTCATCACACCAGAACCCCTGGACCGCTCTCAGCTGAACTATGAGAGGACTTCCTGGACCTCTGAGTTTTCAGGCCCGCTTGTTCTGCCCTGAGCCTCTGACGGCCTCCTGGGGACTGTTTCTGCTTCTACCCTAGTGGCAGCCACTTCGCCCACCCAGTGTCCTGTTTCTTTCTCTTTCTCTCGTGTCTCTTCATTCTACACAGTGTCCCTGGTGACCGTCCACCAAGAGGCTAAATTGTCTGATGTCTGCAGAAGCAAAGGGTTGCATCAGAACCTCTAGATTTTCAAGTACAGTGTATTTAACAAACTCAGGCTGAGTGTGGTGGTGTACACCTGTATGCCCAGCACTTAGGCTGAGGTAGGAGGATCACTGGACTTGAAGTCAGCTTCTTGAAATAGTGAGATCATCTCAAAAAAGAAAGAAAAAAGATAAAGGTTGCACAGACTGAGAGTGTGCCTCAGTAGTGGAGTGCTGGTGCTTAGCAGGTTGAGGCCTGGGTTCACTCGCAACGTGACAGAGAAGCACCTAAGCTGCACTCCCCTGTGTGCCACAGGAGAAAGGTCTTCCCAGACTTTCTGTGCTGTTCATGCCACAGAGCTCTTTTGAGACTTGCCATCCCATTAGATCCACCCAGGGCATTTTCACTTGGTGCTTGTTTTAGCCAGAGGCAAGCTCCCCTCTTCTGCAAGACAGTTGATCCCTCCCAAAAGGCCTCAATAAGTTAACTAGCAAATCTGCAGCTACTTGGTTTGAACCTTTGTTTTTATTTAGTCTCACTATATAGGTTAGGCCGGCTTCAAACTCATGGTGATCCCCTTGCTTCAGCCTCCCGGGGGCTGGGATTACAGGTATGAACCACCATGCCTAGCTTTGGTACATTTACTTTTTTGTTTTATTGAGACATTTAATTGAGACATTACATAGCCTTGGCTAGCTTTAAACTCCTCTGTAGACCAGGCTGGCCTCAAACTCAGATCCTCCTGCCTCTGCCTCCCAAGTGCCAGGGTTAAAGGTGTATGCCACCATGCCCGTCTTCCCAGCTTGGCACCTTAGCCCTACCTTGACAGTTTATACATGATTGTTTGGCCAGAGTAGGCACCTTCAGAGTGTTTGACAGTTTGGTGTGTAAGCAGAGCTGTGGTGGGACCTGGGCATATGGGACAAGGACTGTGGATTGTCACCCTTCTCCTCCTCACAGCAAATTAGCCGTCACCAGGAGCAGTTCATCCAGATGTTGAATGAGCCCCCGGGGGAGCTGCCGGACGTCTCTGATGTAGAGGGCGAGGTTGGTGCCATAGGGGAGGAGGCTTCACAGATGAACTATATCCAGGTGACGCCGCAGGAGAAGGAAGCTATAGAAAGGGTAAGAGGCCTGGCTGAAGAGCCACTCATGGTGGGCAGCCCCATACCTCCCTCCTTCTTACCCCTGCCCATCTTCCCACAGCTGAAGGCACTGGGCTTCCCAGAGAGCCTGGTGATCCAGGCCTACTTCGCGTGTGAAAAAAATGAGAACTTGGCTGCCAACTTCCTCCTGAGTCAGAACTTTGATGATGAGTGATGCTGGGAGGCTAGAATGCCCCCACCCCACTCCACAAAAGTTTTATAAAAGAAAAAGTATATATATATATACACACATATATATATTCATGTTTATTTAAGAGGAAGAAAAAAAACAAAAACCATTTAAAGAAAAAGAAAAACCACCTAGCCCAGATTCCCACCTTCCTGAAGAGGCCCCTGTTCCCATCTCAGTCCGACAAGACCTGGGCCAGACAGCTGTCCCCATCCTCTTAACAGAGCCCAGCCTGCTCAAAGTTGCTGGCAAGACCAGGAGGCGACAGATGGGCCCCTCTTGGCCTCTGTCCCAGCTCCCTGCAGCCAGATGGAGAGGCGCCTGCCTGCTTCCCCATCCCTGAAGCATCCCCAAGGACAACCCACCTCCCTCCTCCATGATGAGGGGAAGCTGGAGCCCTAAACTTTTATCCTCCATTGGAGTGGCCCAAATCTTTCCATCTGGAGTGAGTTCATTAGAAGCCCAAGGCCTTCTCCCCAGACTGGCCTTGGCCTCCAGCCTGGAGAAGGAGGTAACATCAATTCTGAAGGCCAAGGCTACCCCTGCCCCAGGGCAGAACCATATCTCTGATAAAGGTTTTGAAGTGAATAAAGTTTTAAAAGTGAGCCCTAATAATGGTGCCTGCCTACTGGAGCTTCTCACAGCAGCCTATGAATCTGTGAGCTAGCTGGGGCACAGGTGACATAGCATGCTGAGACGTGGGGAAGAGGCTTGTGATCCTCACAGATGGGGGCCCTAGCATCTCTTCCCTCTGGAAACTTGGGCCCCTGCCCCAGCTCAGCCCTAGAAGGGCTGCTGCTCCCTCTATCATGCAGTCTGTTTGGCTGTACTCCCCCCGGTAATTGGCTAATTACTGGAGATTAATGTTGGTAAACAGAAGCCTCCTTCTCTACCGCCATCTGCTCCTTCATTATTTGCCCATCCATCCCCTTTCTCTGTCCCTGAAGCCCCAGTTCATGGCATGGCCTAGTGTCCAGGTGTGGACACAGCCCGTGGAGCATTCTCCCACCCCAGGTGTTGTGGGATGAGCCGGGGGCCCAGGAAGTCACAACTTGAGGGAGAATGTGTAGAACAGAGCTGTCAGCAGCAGGTTTTATTGGGAAAGGGACTTTTAGGAACTGGGCTCCCCAGACACTTCTGGGTCCTGGGCTTCGGCAGAGGCCATAGCAGCAACTCGTGCCTCCTTCTTCTGCCGCTGTTTCTCCTCTTTGAGGCGCTTGCGCTGCTGCTTGTCTAGGTCCTGTAATAGTTCCTGGAAGCGGGCACTCCTTGGGTCCACGTGGTAACCCAGGCGCTCCTGGGCCTCAGCCTGTAACCGGGCCCTCCGCTCCTTGTCAGCCTGAGCTTTCTCCCAGCGTTCTCGCTTCTGCCGTCGCCAGTTCTCAATCATTTGTGGCATCTTGGCCATGCACTCTGAGATGTGCTGCTCCCTGCAGAGGAAAGCAGGCAGTAAGGGGCAGACCAAGTCGACCCTGGATTCCACCTACCTGTCTACTAAACCATCCTCATGCCCGTGTCATGGCTGCCTTCCTTGATTTCACTGCTATGTCTGCCAGGTCCAAATTCAGGCACAGAAACAACTAGATGAATGTTTTCTTCCAGCCCTACGAATTTTTTAGTTACACTCATATCTCAGTCTTAAGACAGTAAAACTTTAAGAATCAAGCCTTAAAACAGGAAAGGACTATTCATCCAGCTAGGGTGGGACACATGGGGAACCAGCTCCATCCTACACTGCCAGCATGACTCTGGACAGTTGACATGGCTTCTCCAGACCTCAGTTTTCATCTGTACAAAGGGCGATCTTGTCCTTTCAAAGTTGAGAGGACAAGGTTAAATACCAGGAACACATTTCACTTGCCTTGGACCCTGCACCAGAAGTGGCATCATCCAGATGTCTGTGACTTCCTCCATTTCCCTGCAGATCTGATTGCGCACATGTCCCTCCTTTGCTGACGCCTGCCCTGGACTTCAGGGCCCAGCACTATTCTCATCTCCATTACCCAGCCACACTGACGGAGTGCCTCAGGGCACACTTTAGGCATTTTTTAAAAATTTATTTATTATGCACAGTATTCTTTCTGCATGTATGCCCGCAGGCCAGAAGAGGGCGCCAGATCTCATTACACCATGTGGTTGCTGAGAATTGAACTCAATCTTTGGAAGAGCAGGCAGCGCTCTTAACCACTGAGCCATCTTTTCTCCAGCCCCTAGGCATTTTTTAAAAATTAATTTCCTTTCTTTTTTAATTTTTTTGAGACAGGGTTTCTCTGTGCAGTCCTGGCTGCCCTGGAACTCACTCTGTAGAGGCTGACCTTGATCTCACCAAAATCGGCCTGTCTCTGCCTCCTGAGTGTTGGGATTAAAGGCCTGTACTGCCACTGGGTTGAAGTTTTCTTAAAAGATGGGGTCTTACTATGTAGACGTGGCTGGTCTCAAAACTCAGCGATTTACCCTGCCTCTGGCTCCAGATGGCTAAGATTACAGGTGTGCTTTCATCATGCCCAGTTTACTTATGATAAAGGGTCTCACTGATAGGTGTGAGGACTGTCCTCAGACCTCACACCCTGCCTCTGAACCATAAGATTACAGGTGTGCTTTCATCATGCCCAGTTTACTTATGATAAAGGGTCTCACTGATAGGTGTGAGGACTGTCCTCAGACCTCACACCCTGCCTCTGAACCATGTCTTCTCCAAAGTTACAGTCATGTGTCACTAGGCTTGGCTCAACTTCAGGACCTTTGCACTACCTGTTCCCCCTTCTGGGAACTTGAGATTTTCCCAGTAACTATAACTTGTTATATGGGGCTTTGCTCAAACATACAAGGGCTAGCAAACTGATGTGTTCTCCTGCATGCCTGCCCCCCTTTTTGTTTTTTTGTGGGTTTTTTTTTTTTTTTTTTTTTGAGACAGAGTCTCTCTATGTAGCCTTGGCTATTCTGGAACTCATTCTAGACCAGGCTGGCCTCAAACTCACTGAGATCAGCCTGCCTCTTCTTCCTGAATGCTGGCATTAAGGGTGTGCACTACTATTGCTTGGCCCCAGCATGCACTTTTTTTTCCTCCAAGACATTATTTCTTTGTAGCTTTAGAGCCTGTCATGGAACTAGCTCTTGTAGACCAGGTTGGTCTCAAACTCAGAGATCCACCTGGCTCTGCACTCTGAGTGCTGGGCTTGCACCACCATCGCCGGGCTCCAGCATGCATTCTTAACCGTGTTTTGTCCTTTTGAGGGTCCCTTGTCATGTGAAATTCTTGTCTGTTTTGTTTCCCATTGTGTGGATCCTCAGATTCTTGCACAGAATGTTAGTAAAGAAAAAATAGTTGAGGCTGGGCCTGGTACAGATATACGGAAGGTAAAGGTAGATGGATCTAGATTCAATGCCAGTCTGGAAACATATAATGAGTTATGGCTAACAGTGAGACCTGTTATATATATGTGTATATATAAGGGCGGGCTAGTGATACAGCTCAGTAGTAAAGGAAGGGGTAAAGTAGCACAAGAACTGCAGTTGAGTGACTACAAGAATTTACCTAGCAGTTTGTGGGGGTTGGTTTGGTTTGGCTTTTCAAGACAGGGTTTCTCTGTAGCTTTGGAGCCTTTCTGGAACTCGCGCTGTAGACCAGACTGGTCTCGAACTCACAGAGAGATCCACCTGTCTCTGCCTTCCAACTGCTGGGATTAAAGGCTTGCACCACCACCGCCCGGCCAGAAGTTTGGTTTTTCAGTCAAGTGAACATGTATGATAACCCTACACCACAAGGACTCCGCATGCCTCCAAGAGAATTCGTGGTTTCGGGGTCGTGGGTTACCTGTCCCCATAACGCACCTGGCACGACGCCTTGCCTCCTGGGCCTGCTGCTGCGTGCGCAGCGACTCTTGCATGGTCGCTAAACTCGGGTACCATTCTCGCTCCTCCGCCTCCAACTCGCGCAGCTGCTCCGGGGATGGCCACAGGGAGGCGGGGGCCACCCCGGACTTGGCGCCGTACCGCGCGAACTGCTTCGCCGCATATCGCGGCCCTAGCTGCCATCGTGGGCTCAGCAGATTCTCCGGGTCTGGCCAGTGGGGCCCGGGGCGGCGGCGCGGGGGTGGCGGCGCACGGTAGTTACAGGACCTGGGCCCCAGAGCCACGGAGAACCGCAGGAGACGGCACGCCTGCATGGCGGACGCCGCCATCTTGGCTGTGGGTCCTCGCGGGCGGCGGGCTGGCTAGAGCGCTGCCTGCGCGGCGGAAACCGGGGGCCTCAGGTAAGGGAGCCAAGGAACTAGACTGGAAGATTGTAATCGGTGCCGTAGAAGTGCACATTTAATGCGGGAGGCGGTAATTTGTTAAAATAATATATGTGGCCAGGCGTGGCCATATATTATAAAATATAACATTGATCCCAGCACTCAGGAGGGAGAGGCAGGAGGATCTCTATGAGTTCAAGGCCAGCCTGGTCCATAGAGCTTGTTCCAGAACAAGCTCCAAAGCTATAGAGAAACCTTGTCTCAATACAAAACAAAAGCAAAACTTAAAACTGGCATTCTAGTAATATTTAAAATAATATATTTAAACTAGCATTTTAATTTTTAGTTTTGAAGTCTTGTTTTAATTATTTCCATTTTATTTTATATTTTATTTCCCCCACATATGCCTTTTTATCTCTCTAATGTATTAAATATTTTCATCTTAGTATCTAGGTTCATGTTGCCTCTTAAGTCTTTTTGTTTGTTTGTTTGTGTAAGCATTGCAGCTCAGATAGAAAGGGATCCTGGCAGTCGGGAGCCAAGGAGAGCCAAGTATTACGGCTTGGATGGAAAGAGTATTGTCTGCTCTTCCAAAGGTCCTGAGTTCAATTCCTAGCAACCACATGGTGGCTCACAACCATCTGTAATGGGGTCTGGTGCCCTCTTCTGGCCTGCAGGCATACACACTGACAGAATATTGTATACATAATAAATAAATATTTTTTAAAAAAGTATTCTGGCAATTGGGAACCAAGCACAGGTAGTCACAGTAGGCAGAGCAGGTTACAGCCCTGCCCCAGGGAAAGGTTTCCCCAATCTAACAGCTCTGCTCCTCCATCAGGAGAGGGTTTCCCCAGCGAAGTTGTTACAGATCTACATTGGTCGTGTGTGTGTGTGTGTGTGTGTGTGTGTGTCCCGTAACAACTCTGCCTAGCTGAAACCCCAGTGAGTGGAAGTGGGGATGCTCTGCTGCAGGGCAAAAGTTGTTACTTCTCTCGTGCGCTCCATTTCTGTAAAGGAAGTTCTCACCCAAGCATCATTCAAGAGGGAAGAATCCAGGAGAGTGGCTGCCTCTGCCAGGATAGAAAAGGCAACAGCAAACTCAGCGGGTGCAGAGCTTATGTAGGGCTTCTCAGAGGCAGAGTTTTTCCAGGGAGATTTTCAGGCTGGGAATTGGTCAGATTTCAGTCCCTTGAGCTCAGATTGGCTAGATCTCTGTTCAGGGATTGGTTTATTTTCTGCTTAGTTGCTTAGGGGTAGAGTTGGCTCTGGTTTCAGAGCCAAAGTGTTTCTTTCACTGGCCCTCTTTAGCCTTTTGGCTCTAATTTCAGGGCCAGGACATATTTCTTTCACTGGCACTGATTCTATGGCCAAAATGTGTTTCTTTAGCTCTAGTTTCAGGGTCAGGGTGTGTTTCTTTGGCTGGCCCTTCCCCATACAGTTTGTTCAATTTTCGAGACCTGGTTTCTCTGTGTAGCCTTAGCTGTCATGATTTTTGGTCTACAGGTAGACCAGGCTGACCTCGAACTCAGAGATTTTCCTTTCTCTGCCTCCTGCATGCTGGGACTAAAGGAGTATGTCACCGTTGTCTGGCACATTCTAAATCTTTTTTTTTTTTTTAATACGTTGTGTGTGTGTGCCTGCGCAGTGCCAGTAGCGACCAAATAAATCCCCTGGAGTGGCCTTCCAGGCAGTTGTCAAAGTGCTTGGGTACAGGGAACTGAACTCAAGTCCTCTGGAAGATCAGGAAGTGCTCTTAACTTCTGAGTCATTTCTCCAGCTCCTTGCATTACATCTTGTTTGCTCTTGTGTCTTTTTGAGTAGTGCTGGCTGGCCTAGAACTCACTGTGGACTAGGCTGGCCTCAGACCCACAGAATTCTGCCTGCCTCTGCCTCAGCAGTGCTGAAATGAAAGACCTGAGGACCCCCCGCCCCATGTCCATTTTGCCTTATATCTTAAACATTTAAGATCTACTCTATGGGCTCTTAGTTATCTGACTCTGTTGAAGGTGTGCTTGCCCAGCACACACAAAGCCCCGGCTTTTATCCTTGCACTGTCTAAGCGATATAGTGGTGCATGTCTGTTAATCCCGACACTGGAGAGGTAGAGGCAAGATGATCAGATTCAGGGGCATCCCGGGCTACATAGCTTTGCATTTCCCACCCTTCCCCTTCCATTTTTCTAAGAGTCTCACATAGCTCAGCCTAGGCTTGGATTCCTATCTTTCCAGTGCTAGGATTATAGGCATGCTTCACTGCATCTAGCAAGATTTACTTAGGACTAAGGTTTTTTATTCTTTGCTTTTTGGATTTTTTAGATAGAGTCTCATGTATCCCATGTTGGCTTCAGGTTTGCTATATATATGAGGCTGGTTTTAAACTCTTGATTATCCTGCCTCTGCCTTTCAAGTTCTGAGAGTAGAGCATGTAATACCATTCCTGTTTAAAATTTTATTTTAAACATTTTGAATGCTTTTACTCTTTTAGATTTAGTTTTTAAAAATATTTATGACTATAAATATTGTGAATGTATTCATGTGTGTTCAGAAGTCTACTGAGGCCAGAAGGGAGTGTTCAGTCCCCTGGAACTGGAGTTCCAGGCAGTTGTGAGTTGCCCGATGTTGCTGGGAACTGAACTCAGATCTTCTGAAAGAGCAGGAAGCACTCCTAACCTCTGTCTTAAGCTTTATTGTGCACATGGGGATTGAGTTAATTATCATGAGAGGAAAACATTTTTCCAAATTGTGCTGTACTTAAATATGCCTAAAATAAACTGTTTGGTGTCAGACTCTTGATTTAAGCCAGCACTAGCTGCTGAGTCCTCTTGAGCCAGATTTACTTCTTGCCTCACTCAGGCCATTACTCTGTTGGCCCTAGTGTTTGCAGAGACCCCCACATGTATGTGTGTGCCTGTGTGTGTTCGGATGTGGATGGGTGCCCTCAGAGGCCAGAAGAGGGTATAAGATCCCTGGAACTGGAGTTTCAGAATCACCAGCACCACAGAAACTGGGCATGATGGTGAGTACCTGTAATTGTAGCATTCAGTAAGTGGACAAGAAACTAAGAATTCAAGGTCATCCTGAGCTACATAGAGTGTTTAAAGCAGGCCTGGCATGTAATACAAATTCTAATTGTTCTTAATAATAAGAACCCGGAGTCAGATATTAGGGGTGAAAGCTGAGAGATTAGATAAGCAGTGCAGGCAGCCACTAAAGAGACCTTTTCCTTTTACTGAATACTCAGGCTGAAGGGGTGATCCTGTCTCTACACATCCTTAGACTGCATGCTATCTCGGTGAAACCTCAGACTGCACCTGAGCTCCTGCCTCCACCTCCCGAGTGCTGGGATTAAAGGTGTGCACTACCACTGCCTGGCCTCTGGAGCTAACTAGTGGCCCTCTCCGCCCTCTGATCTTTAGGCAAGCTTTATTTGTTAGATCACAAACAAAACATCACCACACTGGGATATGTGAGATTCTGTTGTTTCCAAAAAAGACGTAATCAACTGAGTGTGGTGGCACAGGCCTTTAACCCCAGCACTCAGGAGGCAGAGACGGGGGATGTCTGAGTCTGAGGCCAGCCTGGCCTACAGAATGAGTTCCAGGACAGATAGGGCTGTTACGTGGTGAAATTCTGTCTCAAAAAACCAAAAAAGGGCTGGAGAGATGGCTCAGAGGTTAAGAGCACTGATTGCTCTTCCAGAGGTCCTGAGTTTAATTCCCAGCAACCACATGGTGACTCACAACCATCTGTAATAAAATCTGATGCCCTATTCTGGCCTGCAGGCATACATGTAGACAGAACATGTAGACAGAACATTGTAGACAAAATAAATAAATAAATACATCTTAAAAAAAAAAGCAAAGAGGATTAAAAGAAAACAAAAAAGGAAAAAAAATACATGATTTCAAGATAGGTGTTTTGGTGCACACCTTTAATCCCAGCACTCGAAAGGCAGAGGCAGGTAGAGTGAAGCTAGCCAAAGTTATGTATCTAAGACCTGTGCTGTCAAAACAACAACAAAAATAGGGTTTCAAGAAGCCCAGGCTGACTAAGTAGCTAAAGCTAACCTTGAATGTCTTGTCGTCTTTCTACCTCCACCTCCCAGCTGCTCAGATTTGTGCTGCCAACCCCAGCTCTTCTTTTTCTTTACTTGTGTGTTGAGACAGAAGAGGGGACAGAAAGTTGGGACGTGCTAGGCAAACATTCTACCACTGATCTAGATCGTCAGACCTACAGTGTGTGTGTGTGTGTGTGTGTGTGTGTGTGTGCGTGTGCGTGTGCGTGTGTGTGTGTGTGTATGTGTGTGTGTGTGTGCTGTGGATTTGTCTGTATGTATATATGTTCATCATCTAGATTGTCAGACCTACAGTGTGTGTGTGTATGTGTGTGTGCACGCGTGCGCTGTGGATTTGTCTGTGTGCATATATGTTCATCTAGATTGTCAGACCTACAGTGTGTGTGTGTGCTGTGGATTTGTCTGTATGTATATATGTTCATCATCTAGATTGTCAGACCTACAGTGTGTGTGTGCTGTGGATTTGTCTGTGTGCACACATGTTCATATCTGAGCATGTGGAGGTCAGAGGTCAACTTGGGAGTCATTCCTCAGGCACCATCACCTCAGTTTTGGAGATGGGGTCTCTGATTGGCCAGGAATGCCCTCTAGGTTAGACTGGGTAGCTAGTGAGCCCCATGGATTTGCCTGTCTTAGCCTCCCCAGTGTTAGGATTACAAGCATGAATTATCATACCCACCTTTTTTGTTTGTTTTTAAAGTAATTTTAAAGATTCTTTTCAGATTTATGTGTATGTGTGTTTGCTCACATGAGTGTTTGCATGCCAAGTTCATGCAGTTCCCGCAGAGACCAGAAGAGAGCATCAGATCTCCTGGGACTGGAGTTCCAGTTGTTTGTGAACTGCATGGGTGTGGGGAACTGAACTTAGATTCTCTGTAATAAC